CCAAATATTGTCCTATCCTAACGAACCATACATCAATGGAAAGCTATTTATTCAGCTTTTAGATGATGTATAAATCTCAATTTCGAAAATATTGATCCTTATGACTGGTTTTGTGGTCCAGGGTCACATATTTGATATATTTATGTATATTTATATATTTTTCTGTTTTTATTTTATTTGAACTTAAGTTTAAGTTTTAGTATTTGGAAGTTTTTTTTAGAGCTGCACGATTCTTGATAAATTGAGAATCACTTTTTTTTGTTTTTTGTCTCAAATAGAGATCACGATTCTCCCACAATTCTGAACTAATCAAAATAATGTGACAAAATATTAATTGCTGCAGGGCAGGCTATTTAAAAGTGTTTAATTAATTTAAATGAATTGTTAAATATTTTAATATATATGTATTTAAAATATGTTTAATACACCAATTTTATTATTAAAGGGGTCATATGATGCTATTTTAAAGATCATTATTTTGTGTATTTGGTGTAACAGAATATGTTGACATGCTTTAATGTTCAAAAAACACATTATTTTTCAAATACTGTACATTATTGAAGGTCCTCTATGCCCCGCCTCTCTCAAACGCTTCGTTTTCTACAAAGCCCCCTCCTTTGACAAGCGCAAACCAATGATTCCTAATTGCATCTACTTCCGGAAGGCCAAATAAAGTGCTTTTGCTTTAGCACTGAAACACAGCGTCTCGCTGACATGGTTGCATCAACACGACTGCTGTTCATGAAACCACGCCTTCTTTCTTTGTGTGCACATTTGGGCTGCATTATGCTAATATTTCCACATAGTGACCTAGATATGTGGGGGCGTGTTAGAACGAGCCGTTTTAGGTAGGTGTGGCTGACTCTTAACTTTTATAAAGAATATCTCTTTGGATTTGAGACTTTAGTCTTAGCAACTTTACAGATCTTCTTTATGCACCAAGAGCTTGTAACACTCCAAAGAGAAAGGAAAACTTGAAATCGCATCATATGACCCCTTTAAAATGATGAAAAAGTGGTTTGTTTGAATGATTCAAAGGCTCATAATTACTTCACTTGTTTCATTACTGGATGTGGATGAATCAGCGTTTTTGAACGAATCTCTTGAATGAATGATTCAATGACAAATACATTTTTAAACAGTCAAATGCAATCGACACAAACGTTATTTAAAGAGCCAGTTACTTTCAAAAGATGACTTGCTCTATTTTGTTCGCTACCACAGACATCAATGTTTATATCCAAACTATAAACTTTCATCCCAGTATTTCTGTGATAACATGAATGACTAAGACAGAAATAATACTGTGTAGTTGAAAAGACTGTTTGTGTAGCTGTTTCTTATCTAAACATGTAATTGTCTGCTCTCTGTGTCAGCGGCAGCACGAACGCAAATTTAAATGTTCCGGTATGACTTTTTCAAAGGTTTAATAGACACGGCGAATCGTTGTCATTTAGAAATTAGACTGCATGGGTGTCTGAATCGAGCAGCTTTAGGTTAAGTTTTAGTTATTTTTCTGTCAAGTTAACCTAAATGAAAATGAGAAATGTTGACTTGAGACTAGCTAAAATATAAAACTTATTTTATTTTCATTTCAGTTAAAGTTTATTTTATTACAAGTAACGAAATGTATTTTTTAGGTACAGCATTAACTTAATAGCCCTGTCTACTACAGACACAATCTCCAACTGATATTAAATGTAATTAATACAAATTTAAATAACATGCTGTTTAAATCATGCTGCCAGGTAGCATTGTAGCCTCTGTGGTTAATGCATAATAATTGGCTAATTAATATTCATTAGCCCAATTTTCTCTGAATAGTGACATCACTACCATCCATGTTCAGTTTCCTGCTTTAAAACTTTAAAATCACTTTAAATTATTCCACTGATACTGCCTTATTTTCACCTAAAAGTGTAAGTCATGTGATGATAAAGATTATTTGTTTTTAACATTTTTTTCTTTCTATCAGCGATCCCTGCGGCTGACCTGTCCGAGCAGATCTCCACAGCCGGCACTGAAGCTTCTGGAACAGGCAACATGAAGTTCATGCTGAACGGAGCTCTGACCATCGGCACCATGGATGGAGCCAATGTGGAGATGGCAGAGGAAGCAGGAGAAGACAACTTCTTCATCTTTGGCATGAGAGTGGAGGACGTAGACACTATGGATGCTAAAGGGTTGGGAAAAATACTAATTAAATACAATTTTTTTTAATGTACTTTTCTTAATTATTGTACTTTTGGTAGAATTTAGAGAAATAATAAACACTCACACAATGTATGTACAGTATATGACATGACCTCCTTCCATCTGGCAGATACAACGCATCCGAGTACTACAATCATATGCCAGAGCTGAAGCAGGCCATTGACCAGATCGCAGGAGGCTTCTTCAGCCCAAAACAGCCAGACCTCTTCAAGGATATTGTCAACATGCTGATGCACCACGATAGGTAGAGAAACAAGAACAAGAAACCCATTGCCAGTCAGCACTGATAGCTTTGTGGGCAGCGTGCCGACATACAGCACCATTGCGTTATGGGCGTCCCAAGTTCGAATCCCGACTCAAGGACCTTTCCTGATCCCGCCCCTTATCTCTCTCCCACTTCGCTTTCTGTCAGTTCTGATCTGTCCTATCTAGACTTGTGCCGGTATTCGGTAATGCGATATATCACGGTAATGAATATGCACGATATTGTTATCGTGTGCACTTCTTACAAATTATTCAGAATTTTTAATGCATTTTAAGAATACTTTTCCCATAAACTGGTCAAAATGCACAACACGGCGCTGTATGCTGCGTGAAAGATGCATGCGCACTCTGATGTAAATAAGCGAGGACTAGAAGCACATGGCGGAACATGTTAGAGACGCTCTGGATGAAAGCGCACTTTCACTCTCTGACAGCAGA